TTTGCCTCCCAGCTCTTTCCTCTATTTCCCTTGATTCTCCTCCTGTCCCACTATCATGCTCAGTCCCCACCAGGATTTCAGCACTTCCTCTTTGCTACACCCTGTGGTTTCTGAGACTGTAACTCTTTATAGGAATAGAAAGCTGCGTTGTTCTCCATTGTACGGCTAGTGGTTTCGAACGGCTGCCCTTGTGATGAACAGCCCAGTGCATAACCACTACGCCACCAGGGCTCCTAATATATATATAAATAGATGGAGCAATCTAGGAAGTAGTAGTGCAAATAGGTAGCAGATTTTGTAGAGACTGGTGACAGCCGCCTTATCAACTCTGGCGGATGAAGAGTAATATATGTAACACTGTAACTCCCACCGTGGGACTCACATTACAGTGTCCCTACTCTGTAGCTCTGTGTCTTGCAAAGTGCATTCGACTCTCCTCCTTTTGCCTCATTGTAATTTTTGTGCAAATGAAGTTGAACTTAATTTGTCTGGCACCAACATTGAACCCATTAGTACAATATTTAATCTTTCTGTGTAATTTTCCTCTCTGTAAAATCTAATATTCATATATATATTCAGGTCTCATGAAAACCAAAATAAGATGCTTTTGCAAATTAGAGATGGAAATAGTAACTTTGAAATTTCCCTACATTGAAAAGAAAACCTCCTTTTTGGTAATTGATAACATCCCATTCCTTCAGTTTAATGGTTTAATTTTTTTTATGGTGCTGTATGTCTTAAAATTGCTTTCAGTTAATTATTTTCATGATTTTTACTTTCTTCTAGGTTAACAGAACCTTCTGGATACTTAACAGATGGTCCAATTAACTATAAGTATAAAACGAAATGTACATGGCTAATTGAAGGCTAGTAAGTATACGTTTTATGTTGGATTAATTCATTTTATCATGGAATGATAAAAAAGATGTTACGATCATCATTAAAGCATTAACATATAATAACATTATATAGTTTATTTAATTTATTATTATTAGCAAGTTATACATTTTTTGCACGGGATTTATAACTTTTAAGGAGCCCTGGTGGCATAGTGGATGTTGCATCCGGTCGCTAACTGTGAGGTCGGTACTTTGAAACCACCAGCTGCTCCTCAGGCGAAAGATGAGGCTTTCTGCTCCTGTAACGAGGTAGAATCTTGGAAACTCAGAGGGGTAGTTCTACACTGTCTTTTATGGTCGCTCTGAGTCGGCATCGACTCAATGGCAGTGAGTTTTTGGAGGGCTTAAAATGGAATTTACCCATTTAAGCATATGTGACTAAATCATCCATTCTTTTTTATCTATTTCATAATATGTGGAAAATCATTCTTTTATGACTGTAGAACAAGTCATACACACTTGAAAGCTATTAATTCTCTGTTGTGTACTTTCAATCGCAGTTTGTTAATTTGGCCATAAGATATCACATTGAGGGCCTCACTAGTGTTGCCTGTTGAGGATTCTATAAAAAACAGAGTAAGGGCTGTGTTTTTTACACTATATTCAAGTGTATTTACCTATAATAAGATGCACTCATTTTTTATGTACTGTAGAATAAGTTTCAATACTGTACACCGCTTATACACCTTGATCCGGATCTAGAATATTTCCCATGGACTAAATTTTTAGAAAGCAGCGAAGCATACATATGGCCCTAATGGAACTGAAGTTGTATGTCGGTGTTCCAAATTAAAGATGACTGCTCACTCATCATTTATGCTGGTGATTTAAGGACTCACAGAAAATTTTACTGTGCATGGAGCTTTGATAAAATATGGATAAGTCCAGACTGTGCTTTGAATACTGTGAAATCTTAACCATTTTGACCTTTTTTACAGTCCAAATGCAGTGTTAAGATTAAGATTCAATCACTTTGCTACAGAATGTAGCTGGGATCATATGTATGTTTATGACGGAGATTCCATCTATGCACCCCTGCTCGCTGTCCTGAGGTGAGTACTGAGAGTGAGCCTGCTCTCACCAGCCTGTTGGCTGTATTTCTCCCATGGACAAATGTGGACTCAAGTCCTTTGGTTCGTTCCTTTTTATTTATTTTTTAAGTAGAAGAGGGAGCTTCAGACGGTTTGCGGGAAAGCAGAATGAAAAGAGAACAACATGTTTCCATGAAACTTTTTGTATGTGCTGCTGGAGTGAGAACGCTGCACCTGTTTTTAAAGTGTCTCATTGGGTGTTCTGTTGTTGATGTGTCAGGGTTCTTTATATATTCAGGATAACCAAAGCCAAACTCAGGGCTGTTGCGTTGATTGCAACGAAATCTTTCCAGTGTGGTTTGAACTGCTGACATTTTGGTTAGAGACAGACACTTCCCTGCTAGACCCTCCTTGGCTAACCAATTCCGTGTCCTGTCTTAAGGCTGCTGCTGTGGTTGTAACGTGTAAAGCACTGTGCTCGCACATACCCCACAGCCTCTCCCTACAGAGGGCGCCTAAGGACGGTAGCAACCCATCGCCCACTGCCTCAGGTGTTGGGTTCACACCTGAGCCGCAGTGCCTTTCCCCAAGGGCCTGCCTGACTTTTCGAGTTCACTTTTATGCCTGTCATTCAGGCCTTTCCTGTGACGGCCTTGGGTTCTACTTTCTGTTTCTGTGGCTCAGAAGAAACCCTGCCTAACACCATCCAGTCTTTTAGCCGCTAGGTGGCACTTGCAGCTTTGAGCTCAGCAGATGCTCTGGGACAGAGGCCCTGGTGCCTGTGCTAACCATCTCTTTAGCCATCTGGTGCCTTCAAGAAGGTTTTTGAAATAAAAAAAAAAAGTTTTACTTAACTTGCCATTTTGCTAGGTGGACTTAAGTGGGCGGGGGCGGGGAGGGGGAGAAAGAGGGAACCCATCACAAAGTTGGATATATAACCCACCCCACAAGGGGACAGAAATGTGGGTGAATAGAGACAATGAACAGTGTAAGACACGGAATAACCACAATATGTAATTGATAAGGATTCACAAGCATGGGAAGTTGGGGGAGGGAGGGAGGAAAAAGAGGAGCTGATAGCAAGGGCTCAAGTAGAAAGAAAATATTTTGGAAATGTTGATGGCAACATACGTACAAGTGTACTTAATACAATTGAATGATGGATTGTCATAATATTTGTAAGACACACCCACCCCAATAAAAAGATTAATAAAAAAACAGTAAATGTTGATTTTCTTAATACAAATGAAACATACATATAATTTAACCTAAGTGTAATGTGGTAAGTTTATCACATAGGTATCAACTTTAAATAATTGTGACCTGACCTAATTTTCTTCTTCTTCATTTTATTTTCTCACAGTTCAGAAGGCTAGAAGTTCAAGTTCAGAGCACCAGCTCGAGGAGAAATCTTT